CTTACATGTATGAATATTCCCTCTGACTTTCCTTTTAACTAAATCCCCTTTCTTTCAGGGGTCACATAGACCCAATCTTCAACAAGAAATCTAAGATAAACCTATCCATAGGAATCTATGTCTGCTTATTGCTTGACAACTTATTGGTTCTAATAAATCTTTGGCACTGGACAAGTTGTCATTGCTAGATAATAGATTGTAAAAGAAAAAGGGCCTGTGGCTTCCGACCTCAATGATGAGGGAAAAAGATTATTTTGATGTGATAATTACGACATTACAGCAGACATTTAAGTAGCATTGTTTCATTCATCCTTACTCTCGATAATATGTGTATTACTATTATCTCCACTTTACATATGAGCAAACTGAGTCTCATAGTGCTAAAGTGTTTATATACCTTATCAGCACAGCCAGAAACTCAGAAACTCAGGTCTAATCTGGCCTAAATGCATGCTCTTTTTTTTCTTTTTTTAATTCACTTTTCATTTTTTCTACAAGAAAGACAGACTGAGAGACAGCCTCCCCGATAGAGTCTTGGGTCTTGATAGTGCGATCTATCCCTAGTTTCAAGTAGCACGAGATTACGGGCAACCACAAAACCAGCATACACAGGGAGGTCACTACACCTAAACCAGGAACCTTCCCAGTGGGTCAGCTTCAGAAAGCTTGGTTTTACCAGAACCATCATCTGAGCCCTAAATGCATGTTCTTAATCATTCAAATATTTACGTTGAGATTAAAATGTACTGAAAAGCCAATACATGTGTAAAAACTGTGTGGAAGCAAGTACATTTGTAAAAAGTCCTGTGCAATTTAATAGGCTCATCTGTACATCTCTGACACAAAAATAGGCTCTTTGACTTAGTGAAGAAACTTACCCACTCCTGAAATGTCTATGGAAAAACAAAACTCTGTAAAATATTAAAGGAGGTTTATTCTAAGCTAGTCTAAGTGACTACAGCTCAGGGAAATGTAATGCCAATGGAGAAAGTGCTTCTTAGGTAGTTAGGTCAGAGGTCACAGCAAATCTTTTATACATTTCAGGAAAGTATCTGCAATCAGAGTTTTAAATCAATACATGGAGATTGTTCATTAGTTTGGCCCAAGAAAGGAGGATATCGTGAAACAGTGGTGTAGAGTGAGAGGCTTACCGGTCGTAGGTAAATTTAGAAATTCTTTGTTATTTTCTAAAACTACAAGGCTTTATTTACAACTTGAAATCAGAAGGTAGAAAGGTTTAAGATTAACCTTAACATAGGTATCTGAGTCTTTTGGCCATAAACAAAATTGTCCTAAATAATTTTAACATGTGTTAGTTACTCTTTTTTTAAAATTTTAATATTGTATTGAGAGATGATTAATATATTATTATACACGTTTTCTAAATGGGTTCACTAAATTATCCATTACTGAACAGAAACTTGATTGTTAGTAACAATAAGAGTAGTAATAATAACTACAGTGTTTAGATGGTTTCTTTTTCCAGGCACTCCTGAGGTTTTTACCAAATTTAATGAATCATCACTACAATATATCTAGGTAAATCTAGATAAATTTTCTTTTTTTTAAAAAAAAAAACAATTTATGATCTGATATTTTTTAACTTCTTTTTTTAGTTTACATTTTTAAATTTCATTTTCTTTTATACATTCAATCACATTATTTAGCTTACAAAGTGAGCATTTCAACATGTGAACATTTCTCCCTAGTCCAGTTGATAAAGCTATAAAATATCTTCAACAGATAAGTCTTTTGTCCCTGTTGCTATCTAGCTTGCTCTATTTGTCTGCTTTTAGTATTTTCCTTCTCATTTAATTGCTGTTGCTGCTAGTATGAAAGCAGATAATCAAGCATATTAAAGTCTTGCTTAATATAAACTTTAATAGACTCTGAGTGAAAGTGTGAGGAAACTTTGGTAGATAAGATGGATGTGGTTTTATATGTGACTTTTGTGACTAATTTTAGCTTATAAACAGTAACTTGGGTTTCTCTTCTGTTTTTGTCATTGCTTTTAGTTTTTGTTGTTTTCTTTTGGTTTTTGGTTGGTTTCTTGCACATTCCAAATGCCAGCAAAGTATATGAGTAAATCACATCTGAACAAAGATAAAAGAACAAGACATTTCCATGATCACATTTTCAGCCTAGAACACAAATCTTTTTCTTATATGTAGTTTATCTTTTCTTGTTTTTGTTTGTTTGTTTGTTTTGTTTTGTTTTGTTTTTATTGTGGAAATATGGCTCAGAAAAATGAAGGATTTTAAAAAATACAATCACAGGGGTGATTTTAATTTTGAGCCTGTGGGATCCAATCAACTGAGAGGTTATGTGGCTTTACAGAGAAAACACCTTACTTATGCCCCCCACTAGACGTGATTGTTGCCGTATCTCAGGATGCCAAGGTATTAGAGTGCGAATCAGGGAGGTTTCCATGTCTGTCTAATCCAGCATGTTTTAACCATTAAGCAGATAATATAATGGCTTAAAAGCTGATAGAAGGCAAGACAAAGCAGCTTATTCTTCATTTCTGAACATTGTGTCAGGTGAATCGAGGGCAAGGAGTAACATAATAAAAAGTCGTAAGAATATACCTATTTTCATGTTTCTGTACTTAGATATCTTTATTGCATGAATAGGCATGAGGTCTTTAGTTAACATGGTGTCTTTCTTCCTTTCTTAGTTGAATGCTGAACCACATGATGATCACAACCAAATAAAAAGGCACATAGGGTCACAAAATCACAATTGTTAATAAAGCTATTACTGAAGAGTGTTCATGTACAAGGAAGGTTTAATCCTGCAACCCAATCCTGAGCAGACTTGCTCACCCACTAGGGCAGGCCTCTTTCCATCAGTTGAATTGCACGTGGTAATCCAAGAGAAAAGCATGGGCCCTGGAAGCCAATTTTTCATTCCCAACGCATCTGATGAAACAGCTCAGCTCCCCTGGAGTAAACAAGGGGGAAAAAGAGGCAGAGGATTAAATTAATGAGATTCCTTTCATATAAAAAGAAATAGGATGGAGAATAAGATCCCTAAGTTTCAGGGATGCACAAAGACATTTCAAGTCAAATATTTTTTGTGCTATCTGTATACCAGGCTTTACATATGTTCTATCATTTGACCTTGAAATACTTTACCATACCCCAATTCCACAAAAATCACCATGAAGAACTAATTATTATTATCACCATTTAATGGATGAGGACACTTGAGTCTTAGAGAGTTTACTTGCTCAAAGTAACATGGATAATATAATTGGAAGAGATAAGAGTCAAATACAGGCTTGTCTTACCCAAAAACCCATTCTTCCTACATCTTCAGTTATTTCCCATGTTAATAAAGCTAAGAAGTGGCCATAAGGTGATGTGGTGCTTAAGGTGCTGGACTCTCACATGACTGAAACAGTTTGAATCCCAGACCAGGCTTAAAAATCACACCAGGTGTGTGTGTGTGTGTGTGTCTGGTGTATACCCAAAATCCCAAGAAGAGAATGTAGGAGAAGGGATTGTGGCATGACCATACTCCCTGGGGGGT